CTTAATTGATATTCTGTTCATTGTCATATTTAGTTTTCTCGTAGTGGCACGATGATGTAAATTGAAAAGCTAGGCCTCTTGATTTCCTGGAGTTCTTTCTATTGCTAGTCTCAGAAGTTTTTCTATTGCTAGAGTCCCAGATGGCCTAAAGTTTTTCTAACGCGATAATCCTAGGAGAATGTTGATTGCACAAGCGGTATAGTTCCAACAAAGAATTGCCTGCTATAGTCTTGCAGTTGTTCTCCATTATTGCTCTTGTTTTACTTATTTTCTAGTTCAGGGCCACATGTTGAGATGTCATAGTTTTACTGTTTTAGAGGCAAATTCTTGTGGATATAATGAAACTTAAAGTTGACTCTTATTGTTAATGCTCTTGGAGAATCTGATCTTTTTTTTTTTTTGGCTAAATCTGGTCATGGAAGACTGAGGAAAAGAACAAGAAAAAGGTGGGTGTCTCAGTCAAGGAAGAAAAGAGAAGGATAACAGGGAGAAAATTGAAGTGGTTCGGCCAATGCATGAAGGAGAAGGAAGAGGGAGAAGAATAAAGTGGTTCGGCCAAGTGAGGAGAAAGTAGAAGAAGAAGGGAAGAAGGAAGAAGAAATGGAGGGAGAGGGAGAGGGAAAGGGTCATATTTGCAAGCAACTTTATGTATTATAATTTACATGAAGAACAAGATAAAAAAGGGAAGTATATACCTTGCTTTACTTGAAGTAGAAGCCTCCTTGATTTATTTGGTTGAGTGAAGAGAGAGCCCTTGATTTCCTTGGTGAAGAAAGGGGAAGGAGTTGATGGTATTTTCGGCCAAAGGTGGTGGAGGAAAAATAAGAGGGAGGGGAAGAGGGGTTTGACCAAAGAGGAAAATGAGGAGTGGAGGGAGAGGAGCAATTAGATAGCAAATGAGGAATTGGCTTTGAAGTTTCAGCCAAAGGAGTCTTAAGGAGGGAATGACTGGGATGGAATAGTTATGATTGGAAGGAGGGAAATTTCCTCCAAAATTTGAATGAAAGGGAGGTAAATTTGAATTTTGAGAGGTGGTTATAGTGGTTGCGGTTCAAAAATACAACCATAGCTCATCTGAAAGAGAGAGAAAAATTTAAGGAATGCAATGTGAAATCTATTTTAGTTGAAGTGATCCTTTTTTTAAAATTTTTTGATTCAATGTGATAATGTGGTTATGGATGGTTGTAGGTGGTTCAACAACAACAACAACAACAACAAAGCCTTAATCCCACTACGTGGGGTCGGCTACATGAATCCTTTTTCTCCATTGCGTCCTATTTAGTGTCATATTTTCATTTAGTTCTAGTAAATTAAGATCATTTTTAATACAATAAGCCCAAGTCTTCCTAGGTCTCTTCTTAACACAAGTCGAATTTAAAGCATCTACTCTCCTAATCGGATCATCTAATGGTCGATGTTTAATATGACCAAACCATCTAAGACGACTTTCTCTAATTTTGTCTGTCACAGGAGCTACACCAACCCTATCACGAATATATTCATTCCGCATTTTGTCTCTAAGTGTAAAGCCACTCATCCACCTAATCATTCTCATCTCGGCAACACTTAACTCATTCATGTGGTTATAGCAGAAAAATTTGTCCTTGACTCATTCAGCTCTAAAAAATGAGAACACACTAGTGAAGTTGGTTTTGATGAAGGTATGATATTTGAAGTCAAATTATGGGCCCCATCCCAGTAGAAAATATTTTGGTTGATTTTGAATGGAAGTTTTAATTATTTTGATTGATTAAAGTTAATATTTTTAGCTCAAAATTACTTTGGTTGAAGTTTGGTTTTGATTTGAGTCTATTTTAAATGAATTATCATGATTATTTATTTTATTATTGAAATTTCTATCAAAATTATTGCAGTATGTAGTCTTAATGAAAACCCTCAATTTTTGATTTGGGAATGAATTGATTCATTTGAAAGGTTTTGATAATCCACACGCACTTGCATAATTCATTCAATAATTTTTTAAGAAATTTTTATGTAGGATCATTTATTATTTGCATTATAACACAGTAAAAGTTTAAGCAAAAATGGAGCCCGATTATTGTCATATTGGTTTGCATGTTTTTCATATGTGATAATCAATAACATATAACTTACATATTGAAATTTTGATCACTATTTTGATATGTGGAGAAAATAATAATTTTGGGGTATAGGAGCCTATTTATGCATGAAAACTTAAAGTAAAATTTTTATATAAAAATTGCGTCATATAATTGTCTAACTTATTTACATGGTCTTTATATGTGATAATAAATATCATATAATTTTCAGAATGAAGTTTCTAGTTATGTGATAATCTTTAAAGAAAACGATTATATAGGTTTGAACTTTTTAAAGTTGATTTTTAATTCAATTTTGGGATTTAATTGAAACTGGTTTTGTTTGGATTAGTCATAGTTTTGGTTAATTTTTTCTTTTTAGTTAGATTTTAATTTTAGATTAATAGTTTGGTTAATTTTATCTTTTTAGTTAGATTTTAATTTTAGATTAAATTAGGGTTTGTTTAAATTTTGTTTCAAGCGGGGTTCAAACTACAACTTATCTTAGTTCAATTTAGTCATCTAGTGACACTTGAGGGACGTCTATGTCCCGATAAGATTGTATATAAGCCAAGGAAAAGAGTTGACCCAAAAATGAGATCAACAAGCTTAAATTTAGTTTTGCTAATATTCTCAATGATTTCAAATGATCTTATGCACCTAAAACTTAATTCTTTGGCCAACTTTACCCTTCATTGGCTTGGCTTTTAAGAATACAAATTCTTTATGATTGAACTCCACAACTTTGTGCCTCTGGTCATAATATTTTTTTCTGATAATCCTGAGTAGTTTTTATTATATGTTTTCTTTAATTAATTTTTTTTCCCTGTTGTTTCATTAACTAACTTTGGACTCAACTATTGTCTTTCTTATACCTCAACTCAGTCTAATGAAGTTCTACACTTTCTACCATGCATTTCTTAACATAAAAGCTTTTTTTATATTGGGTTGGTTGTCGTTTTGCATGCAAACTCGACAGTTGGGATGGGATCCCCTTATTTTCCTCCAAAATCTAAAACACATAATCACAGCTGACCTTCTAGTATCTGAATTATCATTTTTATTGCCCATTAGTTTATGAGTTAAATGCAATACTAAGATGCAGTTGTCTACCCAAACCTTTATGAATGTCTTTACGTAAACTTGGAAGGAATCTTCTCTCTTTCATAAATAATTACTTTTGGAACACCATGTAGTTTGACAATTTATGGATACATAAATTTGCTAATTTGTTAACTTCTTGGTTGATAAGAAATGGGTTGACTTAATTAATCTGTCCAAAATTATTTAAATGCCATTGTGATCTTGTCTAGTAGATCTGTGAAATTCTATAATAAAATTAATGACAATTTCTTTCCATTTTCACTCCAATTTCGATAATAACTTCAACAATTCACTAGATCTATATTGACCATCTTTTAATCAGACAAGCTGGACATATGTGACACATACTCAACAATGTTTTTCATATCTGGCCATTCAAACATTAGTTTTAAGTATTTGTACATCTTGGTGTTATGGTGTTACTTTGATGAATGATATACTCTGAATGGTAAGTTTTATGTAATTTTTTTTGTCAAATCTAAATCAACAGGCACCCAGAATTATAGTTTTTTTGTGACAACACTTTTACCTATAGTAACATTCTTACTTTTTTCTGATTTAATTTGAACAACCAATTTATGATAGTCATTACTAACTTTTAGTTGTTTGAATTCTATCATCCAATGTTATGAACATTATCATTTGATTTGAATACCCAATATTATCAAATCCTCTCTGATCTTTGACTGCTAGACATTTTTTTCTTTAGTTAATTCATACTATTGCGTAATTATCCAATTTGGGGTACTCCAAGCATTAACAATCACATTTATTTCGCTAAGAGGATGTTGTATATCCAAGTCATAGTATTTAATAAGCTCAAGTCATCTTTTTAGCTTTAAGTACGCCTCTTTTTGTGTGATTATATATTTCAAAATCTAATGATTCTTGAAAATTTCACATTTTACTCTATAGAAATACTGCCTTTTGATTTTTAATGCAAAAATAATAGCTGTCAATTCTAGATTATGCCAGATAATTCCTCTTGTAATGCTTTAGCTGTCTAGATATATATGTAATCACCATTCTTCTATTCTACATTAAAATACATTACAAACCTTTCAATAATACGTCACTGTAAAGCTGGAATCCTTCTATTTCTGATGGAATAACTAATATTGGTACAGGTGTTGGATACTTTTTCAATTCTTAAAAATTGTGTTCCCACATTTTTTCATTCAAAATGGATATCTTTATCATCAATCTGGACAATGAAATCACTATCTATGAGAATTCTTTCATCGGTAGTAGATATTTAATCTTAATTGTTATCTTATTCAGTTTCTTATATTTAATGCACGATCGCATAGATTTGTCATCCTTCTTGACAAAAAAAAAATGAGTTTTGTCATTCTTCTTGACAAAAAAGTGCAGGTAACTTTGTGGTGATTTTCTTGGTTCGATGAATCATTTTTTCATCAATTTTGTAATTGACATTTTAATTCCTATAGTCCATTTGAAACCATTCTATATGACTATTTATATAATGTGGACATCCCTAGTTGCACATCGATTCCAAAATTAACCTCTTTTTAGGCGACTTACCCGACAATTTTTCAGAAACACTTAGGAAACTCTGCAACAATTGAAATATTTTTTAATTTTTCCAGCATAATCTAATTGGAGTAAGAAGCACAAATATCTACCTGATTGGTTTGTTTAATTTAGGTTGTCTTATGAGCTTTTATTGGCATTTTTTCACCATTCTGTTTTTTGTTCCATGTCAACTGGTAGTATTTATTTATTTATTTCATTGAATTTTTTTTTGGTCCAGCTGACTTCATTTGTTGATTTAACTTGGTTACTATCTCATGTAATTTTTTCTTGTTTATGTAGTGAAATATCTGCTGTTGTGAAGACTCTTTTTGGGATTGATCTAGTTAGCAGGTATGCACGCTACAGTGCTTGCTCAAACACAGTGCATCTAGGGATAGTTGTACTCTAAAGTTCTTAGTAATGGAGTTTTCATGTGCCATCTTTTGTATATGAAGCATGTTTGTAAGCGTTGGAAGTAATGTATTGCGTAACCTGGTGCTTCCAAATTGTTTATTTTGGCTCAATGGTTGATTGAAATTTAATTTCATATACGTTCTTGCCCTTAAAGCTTCTTTATAACCATTATAAGTATTGGCTTACATAAGCTTGTGATTCACCATTTGCTTGCTTTGGCATACTCTATGTGTGATTGAAATTTGATTTCATGTTTTTGTGTTACTGCCCTTGAAGTTATTTTCTGTTCTATTTTTCTTTTTATTATTTTTATTTTCTTTTATGTTTTTTTGCTAGGATCCGTTGTATTGAAAGCGGGGAAGAAAGTTCCGAAACAGAATCTGTGTATGGACTGAAATGCCACATCTCACAGGAAGTCAATCACTTGCATGAGGGGCTCAAGCGTGTAAGTGCACTTGCTTGCATGTATCCTTCAGGTCATCATAGTTAGTTCATTTAATGTAGAATGATGTTTTCCTTTTGGCTACTATAAATTTTTTTGCAGATTACTGTTGTTCAATGATGGTGATTAACTGTGTTTTAGTACATACTATGTGTTACTTTATGGTGATTGCCATCAGCTCCCATTCTATTTTGTTCTCTGCACTCCTAGGGTTTTTCTTTTGTTCGGTTTATATATTTATATTCTACACCGGACTTGTTTTGTATGCGCTCGTCTATTGATTATTAATTAACCATAACAGAGTGGACAAGAAATGAGAGTTTGAAGTTGATGTGACTTTTTTCATTTCTTTTTCCCAATTTTTTCATATAGATGAACTGAAAGAGAATTGACAATGATTTTCTAGGTTGTATGGATCAAGATTTTTAGGTTATTTAGAGACTTGGGATTAGTGTACACATACACTAGCCAAACTTTACATTGATTCTTGCTTAATTTGTGGGGAAAAATTAGGTTCTTCACACTGCATTTTTTGTTTTTTTAATGTCCATTCCATTACTTTTGGTCATATTCTCCAAGTCTCCTTGGCGCTTGGCACCAAATTTTCACAAATCAAAACTAAAAGCAAGAGATCAGAGATTTTGATAAAAAATGGCATTCAACCATGAACGGACAAACCAGAATTGAAGAAGGCTTTTAGACTGTGCTTGGGCGCTGTGCCATTTTTTTCATCTTTATGAGCTTTTAAACTTCCCTTTTTTTAATATGTTGTATCCTCATTGTTTAGCTTTCTGTTGATTTACTTCAAACAGGGCCTAAAATCAGAATTAGAGAAGGCTTCCCCTGTGCTTGGACGCGGTGCCATTTTTACAAAAGAATCATGTATCAGTAATTTGCCGAGGCAAGAACAACTTTTTTCCATTGTGTCATGTGAATTTGTCATACTGAAACTAGTTGACTTTTATTTTCAGGTATTTGACTGTTCAGTTTGTTCGTTTTTTTTGGAAAAGGGAAACAAATCAGAAGGCAAAGATATTGCGGGTTAGTTTTTAGTTGTGTATATGTTCTCAGTTTATAGAATTCTGAACTGCAAATTGAATTCAAGCAACCTTTACGAGAGAAGCATTGAATGATGAGCTTTTCAGTAAAAACAAGATTGCCAGTTATGATGAGTATTTCTCTTACTTTCAGAAAGTAGATTATCCATTAGAATTGGATGTGTATGACCTGTGTTCCGAGGAGCTTCGTTCAACGCTGCAAACTCCACGCCAGGTTTTTTTTACCCATCTTATTTGTCTCTACACTGTTTTCGCAAACTATTATGGTTTGACCTGCGTTTGGCTTATTGCATGATTTTGTTGTGATTTGATTAAAGATTCTAAGAGAAGCAGAAAATGCAAAGCTCGGACTGAAAGTGCACAACAAAAACTCTCAAGAAAATGATGTCAGTACACCCAATCCTGAGGTTTGGCAACTTTTATGATTTTTATTTATTAATTTTTAGTCAAAATTTAATGTTCAATCTTTGCTAACATTCTCTGCAGGTTTAGTGTAAAGTCAGCCATGCCTAATTTGGCATTGTTGGAAAATACATTAGGCTAGGTAGTCTCCGGTCTATTGTACCTCAGGTCAATGAGTTTTTGCCCATCTGAAATGATTGGGATAGGGCTAGTGATGTTGATGAGTAGGATTATATCTCAAGTCAATACATGCATCAAGTTTGTAATTGACGCGCAAATGCTACATTGCTTATGAAGTTTTTGTTAGCATAAAGCACATATGTGGAAATTCAGGTGGATAGCTATGCCACATCTACTTGAGCGAGTTGGAACTTGATTAGATTCACTTGGGGCTTGTTTGGGATCAATTTTGTTTTTTATTTTAGTTTTTTTTTTTTAATTTTTTTTTAAAATATGTTTGTTTGATGCAACTTTTATATTTTTTATTTCTAAAAACAAATAAACATGTTTTTGAAAATATTCAAAATAGCTTTTAGGTATTTTGAGTGTTTTTATAAACAACTATACGTTAATCAAATGGTCAAACATTTTTTGTTTCAAGTCAAAAAATTTAAAAAATAAAATAAAAATAAATATAAAAATATAAAAAAAAACAAAAATTATCCCAAACAGCCTCTTAGTTGTCTTTAAGTTCACTTATCTTTTTACTAGGGCACTGGTCAACATGCTTTAGATTTGGATTATTTTATTCTCATTGAAACCATTACATGCTTGATGCGGAAACGTTCGGGTGCCCCCCTTTCCATGGCACTGCTATAGTACCGTGAATTGCTACAACACCATGCATGTTTCCGCGAATTGCTACAATCACGCAACTTAGCTGGCGCCCATTTTCATGCCTGCACTGAATCAGTCTAAGTTTTCTTACTGTTGTGGAGTCGGTCAGCTTTTCTGGGCCACTCCTTGTTATTCTCTTATTATATATTTGCTTTTCTAATGTTCTAGGTTTAATCTTTCGTGTCTTTTGTTAGGACAACCGTCGGCTTTAGTTCTTCTCTCTTTGAGGGTTGTATCCAAGGGATTAGGTGGCGCTCCAGCTATATCTATCTCCAAAGATGGTGCTTATCTTTCCTATCTTCTTTTGCATCTTTCCCACGATGCTTCTGCCTATCCTCCATTGTTGCAACCGCCCCGAACAACAATCGTGTGTTGTTTTTCACCGATCCCTTCCCATTCTAGCCTTCTTGCTCGCTACCATCACCCTAGACAACCCCCTTGCTGTCCTGCAATCCCCCGTTTTGCTTTCTGATGCCATCATTTGGAAACAACAAACTTGTTTTCCTACTATCCTCTTGTTATTCCAGCCTTTTGCACCGCCCCTCGCTGCTCTTCTTGCGACCCCACTTTCTGCCTTGCTGTCCTAGCTCTACGCTTCACTGCCAATGCGATTCTATCCTTTCCCTTTATTATCCCAACTACCCCAACCCATTTCAGCCTCCTACCCTTGCTCGACCACATTTTCAATCTCAACCATCCATTAATCGAGCCTGAGTGTGAGTTTTTGTTGTGTTTATTATAATTTTTCGTTCAAGTGTGTTTGATAATAATCATTTATTTACTTTCTGTAATAATATTTATTTTTCTTATTATGGTTTGGGTTAACTTCAATATCATTTGGTATCAAAGTTAGCCTAACCCTAATCCTATCTTAATGTTTATGGTATCCACTGATACCCTACCCTCTCTCCACCTAAAATTATTATTTCTCACCCTACATCACACCCTTGCACACCTCTTTCCACTTACCCACACACAAATACTATTCATGCTGCCAAGGTGATAATCGCCAGAAGTCTGATTGAGGGGAAATGACACAATGCCATTTATGAGAAATTCACAAGGAGGTGAAGGAATTTCTAAGGAGGATATGCTGTGAGAAACCTGCCAACTACGACAGTGGCTTGCCATCTTCAAGAGGAGGCAATCCAGATAAGTCACTCTTAGGCACAACAATGACTTGCTAGATTGAAGGAATGGAGTGAACCTCTTCAACAATGAGGATTTCAGGGATGAAGAACCTTTAATTCAAAGATGTGACATGAAACATCTAAGAAGCCAAAATTTTGAAGTAAAAGTAGATTTGCTATATTTCGATGATCACATGGATTCGGACAATTCCTTCGAGTGGCTCTGGACATTGGAATGTCTTTGAGTATCAGGACGTCCCACCAAACAGAATGGTGAAACTAACCGCCAACAAATTAAAGAAGAGTACATTATTTTGGTTGGAAAAATTTGAAGTGTATACTCAAGATTGAGGGAAAAGACACGATCACTACATGATTCAAGATCAAACTGAAAATGTTGCGCTAGTACCTACTAATTCACTACCGGCTGGTTGTTTAGACCCAAGAGCCACATCACTATCTTACAAGCAAAGGTTCAACCCCAAAATCTTACAGCTAGAGTATACCCCATGGAAAATTCAAGCCGATCTTGCCTGAGAAGGTATTAGTTCTGAGTGAAAAATAGGTGGAACCAACCAACATTCTCAAATCTTTCTTCACAAGGAAGTGTTTCAAGTGCCATAGATTTGGGCATATTGAATCAGATTGCACAATCAGAAGAACAATCTCTTTCACTAATCGGGGAGCAATTGAAGAAATAAACAGTAATACGGTAGACACGGAAGAGAGAGGACACAAAAGAGGAGTACCAGTTGTTTGCCAACGTGGAAGAGACACTATCAATTTAGTTGAACTCAGGAGAGAGATTCTAGTTGAGTTGATAATAACTGCTCTAGAAGATAGTGTCTGATAATGGGTGCTTATGTAGAGTATGGGGTTGTGGTGCGTTGAACTACTTTTTTACAAGCATTTGAAGCATCATCACTAGGATTAGTATTGGATGTCCAGAAGGCCTATGCATTTGAGGAGCCGGTACTAGACACAAGACAACTTTAGTTAAAATGATTTCGTGTTTTTCAGATATGTAGCATATCTCCTGAGTTGCCCTTAATGAAAGAGGCTCCACTTGTCAAATATGAGAAGATTTTGAGTCACTTCGAGAAGCCAATATGGAATCATTTGGGTATTAAACTTGGTTCAAATGTCTCGTACTTGACCTCTTTACTAAAAACATCCAACCGTGTATGAGGACCAGGAGAAACACATTATATTTTTATTTTTTCAGGATTTGACTTGTGATAACTTACTTCGTTATGTAGCTCTAGCTCAAATTGTATTAAAAGTTGATGGATATTTTATATTAATTAAGATGTACTTTGGAATGAAAATGCTGCATGATTGACTTGTCGGGAGTTTGCAACATCGCCGCTACCTTTAACGGGGCCAACTTGACTACTTTGAGGAAACAAAAGCTTCGACAGATGAGGTTGAAGCTCCCCCAACCCCGAGAGTTTAACCCGGTGCAATGGTTATGTTTCAGTTACCCAGGAGGAGAAGAAATGAAGATTGTAAAAAAGGAAAGAGGAGTCGGGTAGTCAAACAGAGGGGAGAGAAAGCGAGGGGTTTGGAAGCCAAACAGACAAGTTCACCCTAGAAAGCGACGCGAGAGGCGAGGGCTCTAGTGTGTGCGATCATAGAGCAGAGGAAGGAAGGAGTAGGCGTTGTGTGTTTCCATACTCGAGGATATGATGTCGTGTACTGTGCTCGAGGGAAGAAGAGGATCATCGTTTTTTTTCCCATGTCACACGGTGTTCGAAGTAGAGGGCGGATGGAGCAGTCGAAGCGTTGGTCGCATGTGCTTGGAGTTCTAAGCCGAAGGAGGAGGAGGCGACAGCGAGAGAAGGAGAGGACACTGCGTACAAGGGCAACAGGTTGTGTTTGAGCAGAGGGAAGAGTTCTTGTGTGACTGCTGGTTTGGGCTTGACTGAAGGTAAAGTTAAGTTTATTATGTTCTTTAGTAAGTAATATATACATATTATCTATATAAGTTTATTATTAAATTTTATTCAAAGGGTATGGTTTTAATAAATTGATAATATTTAATATTAGTTTTGATTACAATAATTAGACTTAAAGGTTAAAGTATTGAAATCTTAATTTTAAATAGTGTAATACAACAATATTCTGTAATTAAATAAATAAGGAAATAATTAGGTGGTAATTGAATATTTTATATTTTATAAGTGATAATTTGATATAATTAATACAAGTGTAAGCAGATCGTCTATTGTTTATACGAGTAGTCATATTCTTACTATAATAATACTTTGTTTCTTCTCTACTAAACACATTTACTATTACTATTATAGTACTGCATACCCATGATTTAATGTTCTTTTGAATTTTGTTCATATTGCAAGAATGATCTGTATGTTTAATTTTCTTTAAATTATCATAGATATTGAATCTAGTAGAAGAATATTTACCGCCATGCAAATGAAAATGAAATATTTTTATTGCATATTTGTGTATCCATGATTGATTATGATGACGTCATCCATTTATTATATTGGCGGGGGAACACCAAGATATTCGTGCACGTAAATGTAAATGATATTGATATTGAAGTATTTTAAGTGATATAATTTTCAGACGGTGTCTTGTGATGGATTTATAGATACTGAATGATATTGATATATTATTGATATTATAAACTTCATTAAATAAAATCTCTAATTTTTACGTCGATTTATTAAAAATTTAACGAACATGCATATTGTTTTTCTTTTCTCTTATATTATTGTAGTGTAGGAATTCAATGGGTTGTTTAGCTAATTATTTTTTTAATCTAACATTTTAGGTTAAATTTAATTGATTAAAAGATGAATGATAGAATACAAAATATTTATGCAAGATGTGAACAACCAATAACAAGATAAACTTAACTATACTATTTTAATTTAATTTGATTAATAGCTCTTTCATCTTTTAAATTTTAGATGGATATAGAAAAGTTAATTTCCATCATTTGTTTCCATCTTAGATAATTCCGAACTTCAAGTTGGGTCGTGACAAAAGTGGCATCAGACACAGGTTTAAGATTAATTAATAAAATCTTGATGAAGGAGCCCATAGGGTAATTATTAGAAAATTTTAATAATAATAAAAAAAATTAAAATTTTTTTTTTATCCAAATTAATAATTATATTCATTCAAGTATAGTGATACGCCCGAAATAGTAGGAAGAAGAGCTTCTAATTGAAAACAAAGTACAACATACTATAAATTTGAACATGAATATCCTAACCGAAGTGACAACTACAATGACTCAGTTGATTCGAGAGTCTAGATCACAACCTATCGAAAGTGATGCAACCACTGTGGAAAAGTTGAAGATATGTTAAAATCTACGTCCACCTTTATTCAAGAGAATTGAAGACTCAATTGAAGCGGAAAACTGACTAATGAGGATAGAGAAGAAACTAGATAGTATGGCTTGTTCGAATGAAAAAAGAGTATCATTAGCTACATTCGTGCTGGATGGATAAGCCAAAAGGTGGTGGCGTGGCCAACATTTGGACATGTTAGGGGACTTACCCATTATGATGGTCAATTGGGAGGAGTTCGTGGAGCTATTTAGAGAAGGTTTGTCTCCCTATGCGCTTGAAGATAAATGCAAAATAGGTTTGTCAAGTTGAGGCAAGGAGAGAAGGCAACCTTGCATACGAAGCATAATTCACTACATTGTCGAGTTATGCACCGTGCTTGATTACTACTGTAGAAGAAAAGTGTTATCGATTCCTTTCAGGATTAAAGGATTCGATCAAACAACCGTTAATTCCTTTGGGATTGATAAATACTCGGTATTAGTGGAACGAGTTAGAAGAGTGGAGATCGAAAATCAGCTTACTTAGAAGCGTAAAAAGATGCACAAGAGGAAGACTGTAGATGAACATGTGGATAAATCAAAGTGATCCAATGGGAAGAAGTCCAAGAACAGTTTGAGTGGAGTTAGGAAAGGTACGAATTTCGATACAATAGTTACTTGTGTCAAATGCAGAGGACAACATAAAGGTGAATATTTGATGTGCTCTAACACTTACTAATAGTGCCATTTGTCTGGTCATATAATAAAATATTGTCCATCTCTTGGCCAGAAGAGCACTGAAGATAAAAAGTTAGGTGGAGCTCCTTCACAGAAGATTGCAGGTGGACTAAAAAGTTTGAGTCTACAACTTCAGCTTCTACCCAATGTCAACCAAGAAAACCTATTTGACCTCGAGTATATTTTCTTACTCATAGGGAGTCGAAAGAACTTATTGCTGTTGATGGTGATGAGATCTGGTCAGTTTGACGTTTATATATATATACAAATGGCACTATATGCGAGTTCTGATTCGTAAGCTTTGGCACCCTATATATATACAAAGGAAGGAGTAGGCATTGCGTGTACCTGAGGATACGATGTCATGTACTGTGCTCGAGAGAAGAAGAGGATCATCATTTTTCTTTGCTTCGTGGCGCTATATGCGAAGGAGAAGACGATGTAAGAGGGTGCCAAAGCTTTGGCTGCATGTGCTTGGAGCCTTAAGCTGAAGGAGGAGGTGATGATGGGAGGAGGAGTGGACACTGTATATAGAGGCGACAAGTTGAGTTCGTGCGGGAGGGAGCCAAAACCTGCAATGTAGGAGGGTGCCAAAGCTTTGGCTGCATGTACTTGGAGCCCTAAGCCGAAGGAGGAGGAGGTGATAATGAAAGAAGAAGTGGACACTGCATATAGAGGCAACAAGTTGAGTTCGTGTGGGAGGGAGCCAAAGCCTGCGAATCAGAACTCGCAGAAGTAACAGGTCTCATGTGGCTACAGGTTAGGGCTGGACCGAGGATAAAGGCAAGTTTATTATGTTATTTAATAAGTAGTATATACATATTATATAAGTTTATTATAAATTTTATTCAGAGGTTAGGGTTTTAATTTTAAATGTATAAATTAGTAATATTTAATATTAATTTTGACTACAATAATTTTACTTAAAGTTAAAGTATTATAATATTAATTTTAAATAGTGTAATACAATAATTATTTATAATTAAATAAAAAAATAATTAAGTGATATATGAATATTTTATATTTTATAGGTGATAATTTGATAGAAGTAATACAAGAACAATTAGATTGTCTATCGTCAAGGTGAGTAGTCATATTCTTTTACAATAATAATATTTTGTTTCTTCTCGATTAAATGTATTTGTTGTTGTTGTTACAGTACTACATACGCATAATTTAATGTTTTATTGAATTTTGTTCATTTTGCAAGAATGACTTATGTGCTCAGGTTTTTTTAATTATCGTAGATATTGAATCTTCAGGTTTGTTTAAATTATCGTAGATATTGAATCTTTTACAAGAATATTGACTGCTATGCAATTAAGATTTGTATGTGCATGATTGATTATGATGGAGTCACTCATTTATGGTATTAGTGAGGAAACACTAAGGTACGTAAATAGAAAAAATATTGACATTGAAGTATCTTAATGAGTATAATTTTTACACGGTGTTCATGTAACGGTTATATATATATTGAATGATATAAATATGTTATTGATATTGTAAAATTCATTAAATAACATCTCGAATATTTATGTTGATTTATTAAAAGCTTAACTCACATGCATATTATTTTTTTCCTTGTATTATTGTAGTCTATGAGTATGAGTTCACTGTTATTTTTAATCAAGCTTTTTAAGTTGATTTAGTTAATTGAAAAATGAATAAGCCTTAGACAACCGATAACATGGTAAACTTAAATATACTGCTTTATTTTAATTTGATTAGTGACCCTTTCATCTGTTAGATTTTAGATAAATATAGAAAATTTAATTTCCATTGTCTAACCGTCCATTCCCGTCTTAGTTAATTTCAAGCCTCGAGCCGGGTCGTGAGATGTAGAAGCATCCAGGAGACCCCCCTTTATGTTACATTTCTATAGTGCCACAAATTGCTACAATACCGTGCATGTTTTCAAGATCAGCTACAGTCCCCCAACCAGGAGGGCATTCGTTTTCATGCCTGGACCAAATCGGTCCAGGTTTTTTCGTTGTTGTGGATTCGGTCGGCCCTCTTGGGCCACTCCTCGCTATCATCTTATTTTGTATTTACTTTTTTGTGTTCTAGGTTTAGTTTTTTGTGTGTTTTGTTAGGACAGCCGTTGGTGTCCGTTATTGTCTATTGAGTGTTGTATCCAAGGGATGTGTGGAGCTCCAGCTGTATATCTTTCCCAAGGTGGTGATTATCTTCTCTATTCCCTTCCACATCTTTCCCACAATGCTTCTGGCCATCCTCCATTGCTAGAACCTCCCCGAACAACACTCGTGTGTTGTTTTTCACTTCAATCATTCCATTCCGGCCTTCTTGATTGCTGCCACCGCCCCAGACAATTGCCCCTTGTTGTCCTGTAGTCCCCTAATTTACCTTTTCGTTGTCCTCATCTGGACCTGCTGTCCTTTGGCTATCTCAACTTTTCCCACAACGCCTTGCTCCTTCGAATGTCACCCCACTTGCTACCCTCGTTGTCCCAACCTTCCGCTTCACCGCTAACACGGTTACAGACCCTACTTTTACTGTCCCAACCACCCTCAACAAATTTTTGCCACATACCCCCGCTCTTTGATAACCTAGCTGACCACCATCACCCATTGATCGAGCCCTAGTGTGAGTTTGTGTCGTGTTTATTGTAATTTCTCTTTTAGGCGTGTTTGATTATAACCACCTATTTGCTTCCACTAATAATATTGGTATTTTCTATTGTGGTTTGGGTTAACTCTATTATCATGCATTCCCTCTCATTTTTGTTATATGTGATGTTGCTTATCATGAATGTTGCTTTGGTTACTTGTGGGTTATTATGTGGTGGAAGGATGACATGAGGAATTATGTTATATGGAGCTTTTGATCAGTGTTGCCCTTGCATAGAAGGTCCACGGCTTAAGGTTCACATTCTATTATGTTGGCTAGGATAAGGTTAATGGCGTTGTTGATGATATCATTCGTCACATTCATAAGGTTCTTTAATGATTCTAGCAACAAATTTTGATAATGTTGTCCATACTTCTGAGATTATGATCTCCCTTAGTCTTAGTCAAACCTAATTTGCAAGTTAGCTATGACCTAGAAACCTAGAATAAGGTCTATCACAAGGATATTTACTTCATTTATAATCTCTCTTCTAATGATGGCTTGTTGCTTTTTAACTATGATTGTCTTGTATCTTCTCATGTCATCTTATGAAGCAAGGGGATTCTACATTGAAAAGCTGGATCAAACGCTAGAAGGGATTGTCATGTACTCTAATGGATGTGCACAAAACAGTGCTATCCTCAAAATTTTTTATATCCTATTTTCTTTTTGCTTCCATTTTCTTATTCCTCAGGCTACCCATGGTCAGTGTGGTGGCAATTTGAGATCTACATCAAATCTGAGATCTGTGTCTAAGCAAATTATGGAACTGTGGCACTCGCTGGCACAGATGCCAAGATAACCTTTGGGGATAATTATAAGGTTGCTGAAATCTCTTCTTTTCTTCTCCTGTAATGCCCTTCTAGTCACTGACCGGACCCTATCCTCCTATCCTGCTTCTTCATATTCCAATCCTTTCTCCCTTCACCCCTATGTTTTTGACTTCTGGTGAAGATCAAGTGTCATGATCAATTTACATATTTTCCCTTAAACCATTATTTTGTTGTAGGTGGATTATTACACTGAAATACTCGACAGCAGCATGTGAAAGCTTAAAGTGATTATTTTATTATTATTTTTTATTATTTTTTTTACATGTGATCATTATAATCTCTTTGGTATATATTTTATCTCATATTTGTTGGTTTTATTTCACTGATTCTACTTCTGTACCAATTATGATATTTAAACAGCTTATTTTGCTTACATTCTATTATTCTTCAATGAAATGCTAACTATGTACTAGCTGATTCTTTTTGTATTTTTTGTAAAGGTTAATTATTTGTTTACACAGGTTGCATTTGGCAATTCTGTGGAATCGTCAGCCGCCACTTCAAATGAAGGTAGTTAACAGCACCAATGCGTTATGTGATAATTTTGTCATTGTGCATACAATATATGGATTTGTTTATATCTTATGTTTTGTGTCTTCTTAGGTGTACTTTTGGGTTTTTCTCTATTCTTACTAATCTGTATTTATTTTAAAATGAAGATCTTTTTATCATGCCATTCTATTCATCTGCAGGGTAGGTTTCTAGTGCAACATCGCTAGAGCATGTGTATTAGTAGCGTGATATGATATTTTGGCAGCGATTTTATGCTATAAGTGGAAGTATGGTCTCGTTGTAAAAACTTGATACTGAAATGGAAGCAATAATTCTAACCGAGGATCATCCTGGGGGATCTCCAAGGTGGATTAGGAGTAGCGACAATATTTGTAAGTGGTGTAGACTCTTGTTCAATAGCAATAACTATAGAAGACTTGGGATTAGGATTAAGGTAATTGAGAATCTTAATTCACTTGAGCAATTGCAGGTTCATCATTATCATCTATCTCAAGACAAGATCTACAAAATCAAGTTTATATTTATATGCATCCTCATATGGTCCTATATAATTTTTATATGCATTCTCATATGGTCCTATATAATTCTGAAAAGAATGCAAAGGCCATGGTGCTTGGCTTTTGACCTAGGATTTTGTTCTAAATGCCATGAATTGGCTAAACTCTTATTTTAATTCTTTGAGGTTTTTGCCTTCTTGTTAGAGTTTTGCTACGAAGGTTGGAGTTATAGGATTTATTGGTGAATATGTGAATCTCATTTTAGTGAATTATAAGACGGTACATGATAGATGGAGTGTGGTTCTCACAACAAATATAGGTATACTTAGATTGATGGTTATTATAGTTAATATTATTAAAGGAGTAATATTCATGAGATATATGTCTAGACTGATGATATTGATTATGTGAACCTATGAAGAGATGACTGTGCATATATATTATCTTAGTAGCCATCATAATCATGTCGTTGATATTAATCTTTCGGACAAAACCTTGTCATTGTTAGACATAATCATCATAGTCATAATAAGCCATGAAAAGAATTTGAAGAGATTATTAGATTCATGTTGGTGATAGTTAATTTTTTGCAACCACTATGAATTGAGAGACAATTTATATGAAATGGGTTTCACTGAGCGAACCAAGAGGAGCAAGTGGAATATATAGGACTTGCATGGGCAGGATACAGATGCATACACATTTTTAATTAAAAAAGCATGTCGCTTGACACTGTGGTATACAAATGAGACAATGTGTTGTCGCCACTTGTGATGGCGTTCGTAATTTCAGATTAACAAAGGGCGGCATGTGCAGGTGAACTCAATGCAAGCAAAGAAAATCAGTTATGTTTAGGTGGGGAGATATACCATAGAGTGGTTTCAAAACTGTGGAGAGGACAATCTTTATTGAGGGGTGCTAAAACGACAGAGGCCTCTGTAGTCATGGCTATTTTAGAATATTTGTTGTGAAGATAGGGCCCTATTAGTGTGAGAATACATTAGCTAGGCTTGAGCAGGGAGTAGCATAATGGTCAGTTTGGTAAGGAATGGTTGCTGTGATGCTGGAATTGGTGGGCTATGTGATAGGGTCCCATGATAGTGTGGCAAGCCCCATTGGAGAGCGGCCAGTTATATCAACTAGTGAGCGACAATGTGGAAGGCCTTGTGCTGAGTTCAAGGAATGTGGAATGTACGAAATAAGTTGTGCAAGGTGGGGAAAGTAGATGATGTGTGAGACGGAAGAGAGAATTATTAGATGGATATTTATGATTTGCCATTTTGGGTAGCTAGAGTGAGTGGGTAGGATAAGAGTGGCCATGGATGCAATGAGTAGAGGTGCACAAAGAGTTATGATTGGCAGTTGTCAACAAATTTGTGAGTGCATAGCGAGGATTAAGAGTTGGTGTAAATAATAGATGAGTGTGAAAGGATTGACATGGTTTTGATACTAAACTATTGCAAATATAGAGAGATGCGGAGAAATGAAATAACTAGTGGCTAGGGTTAAGTAAACCCAAATGCACTAATTCATCATAATTCTTAGATGTAAGTCAAGTTCCCCTTATATAGAGAAAGCTCATATGAAGTTGAAAATTGTAAAATATTTTGAAATAATAATAATATATAATTTATAAATCTCTTCTTCATTTGAAATTACATTTTTATGTTGATAATTCTTTTTTCACTTTAAAAAAGTGATGCGGGTGCGGGCTTCAACCCGCGTAGGTGTGGGAAATAGCCAGCCGACTGAACCGACTGACATAAGGGACCGGTCTAGGCATGCGCTGTTGAGGAAGACAGGTCCAGGCATGCGGGATTGAGTGGGATTCATACGGGCGAGACTGTTACCCGCCCCTCTACTCTTTTCTTTTGTATTTTGTTTCCTGTGAGAGTTATATCCATTGATTTTTTGAAGTTAGTGTTTAGTTTTGCTGTGTGTTGATTTTAGGTTCCTTTATGGAGTTGTTCTTCCTGTTCTAGGGCTGTACCTGAGGAGGTGGTGCTCCGGTTGTATCCTAGTTTGAGGTGGTGTTGTATCTTTCTTAATCCCCTTCTCCAAATCTCTTGTTCCCTTCTCCCTAGCTGCTGGCCACCCCCAAAACATCCTCCCCGCGCCATCGTTCACTTCCAGCCTTCCCATCCACCTATGAGCACCCTGTACTCGTTGCCCCAGCCTCTGGACCTTGCTATCCAGCCCTCCAGCCACAAACCTGCATTCTGGCGGCCACTCAAGGTTTTGCACGGGTCACCCATACCAACACCCAACACTTTCCTTGCCTTTCCTACCACTTTCTTTTTTGCCCCACTCCTCCAACTATCAAATCAGCCACCGTCCCTCCTTCCAAATCCCTTTTTCTAACCTATCACACTGCCTCCAACCCTTCCCTGTTTCAGTAATATTTCGTCGATGTCACCACCGCCCCGGGTCCTCTCGTCCCGCCTTAACCGGAGCATAGTGTCATTGTATGGTTCTTTCCATTTGTGTCATGTTGTAGCCTTATTTCTACCCTAAAAAAGTTTGCTTTACATATCCGTTGATTTCCGAACTAGCTCCGGTATCAAAAAATTTTTAAAATATTTTAGCTTCGATTCTCTTATCTGATGTATATCTTCTTGATATTTATGATTGCTTGAACGTGTATGAGTGCCTTTCAAATTTGTTGAAATTTATTTTGTTCATCATTATCATCAGCCTTAACTAGGAGAGCTTGTTTTATGAATCCATATTTTTTTCTTTCCCCGCTTCAGAGCTTTGCTTTTGTTCAACTTATTCTTAGCAAATCATTTTGAAATTCTATCCATATTACTTTAGTTTTGCATCTCCTTCCTAATCATTTATTATTAATTTTATTTACTCTTTTTTTGTCTTAAAAACATTTCAAAATTTGATCTTTCATTTTCTAATTAGATGAATCTGTTACTTCACTCTACTGAATGTGGATGACGCATTTAAAAATTGTTCTAAGTTTATCATTAGGCTTAAATCGAACTTTTAACCACTGAATTTATGAATCTCATTTTACATTTGTTTCTTTTGAGTGTTCCTTGAGGTGTAAAACTTACTCTTCACAAATAACTTTGAATAACTTCTATTCATGTTACAGTGCTTATGTCCTTCAATTTTTCTACTTACCTAATGTTTTATTTTTTATCCACATTGTGCATGTCCAAATCAGCTAATTTTTTTTCAGTTACTTTGATATTCAATAGACGACACTATCTATTTCCTTAATAAATTCATTCTTATTTTTTCTTTCATACCTTTTTTATACATCAACAACTTAGATATTAATATATATTTTTATTGCCCAACACTCAGATCCATACAATATTTCTGGCATTTGTAATTTTGTTCAATTCATTGTTAAGTCTATGATATGCTTTTTTTGCATACTATTGTTGATAAAATTTTTCATTTTGACGTTTGTCTTAGTTCTTGAAGTTATAGTCCCAGCTTTATTACCACTCTTCTATTTAGTAGATTTAAGATGTATAAACCTACAACCCCTATATATCATTTTTTCCTTCTAATGGCTGTTGCTATTATTATTATCACTTTCACTTGATTATTTTCTATTAGTTCTAAGCCTTTTATTTTTTAAACATTTGCATTGTTCTAACTTTTCACTTATTTTAAAAAAAGTACGCTAATATAACTATTGTATGCAAAAAAACATATAAGACATTAATTTGCACATTCTTTGCAAGTATGTTTATACCTAAAATAAAAAGAGATGAACCAAATGTCGATCCTTGATGATATAGTATTGAAGTAATCGAAAAATTTTCTCACTTGTGACTAATAATACTAAATAGTGTCCATAATCTCTTTAATAATTTAAATAAACCTGTCACATGCCATTTTATCTTTATGTCACAACAATTCAATTCCATAGTATTCAAACTTGTGTTTTTTTATTATCAATACAAATTATTAGAAGATATCAGAAGATTTATTAGAAGAATTTTCTATTTTTTATGTTACCTTTACTGTTGTTTCTTTATATATATATATTTCTTAGTTTATGCCTTTTCTTTTTATCTTTTGAGTGTTATTAGGAAAGATTTGAGTATTATATTTTTCCTTTCCTATATCATTGTATCATGTATTTATACCCCTTTTACTATTCAATAAGATTATTCCTCACCATTCTCAAATCTAACATAGTATTAGAGCCATTGTTTTAACTCTTGCTGCCGCCAGGACCCTTCCTTGCCTCTAACCACCTGCAGGCCTTTCCGTGCATGGATTCCACCACTGGCCGCCTACAGCTGGCCTCCACCGGATCTCCCTCCAGCCAGCCGGATCTCCCCACAGTCTCCGTGTCTACTTCCAGCCGGCCGTAGTTCTCTCCAGGCAACCTGATCTTCCTCGAGAAGAACCTTCCAGCTTTTGGACCTTCCTTCAGCCTGCCTGGTCTCCCTCATGGGTTGTCGGAACTCCTTCTTGAGGCCATATCTATCCCCTGTAAGGCCCACCATAGCTGATTTTTCCTTC